ATTGCGTATAATATAGTATTTCATTATTTGGGGAGGAAACAAAGTACATTCAGGTTGAAATAGCTTTTTAGTGATTATCTCGTTAAATGAGAGATTTCATTTTCTGAATAAGACATATAACATTAACCTACAATAAAGGCTGAATTTCTATTCTATTTCTTCATAGTAGAGCTACATACTAGATGGACTTGAAGAAACGTATGGAGAAAATCCTGAATGTGAAACTTCTTTTCTAAACATTTGACAGGATTGAAAGGCTGACAACCTCAGAGGATAAATCTATTTTCAGGATCATGTTGGAGGCGGGTGAGAAAACTATAACCAAGAATTGGCTGAAAACAGAAGCCCTAACATTGGAGGAGTGGGTAATGCACAATATTTATTAGTGTTGCACCGATACCAGTATCGGGCAGCGCCCCGATCCAGCACTAAAATAGTTGTATCGGTATCTGCAAGTACCAACAAATAGGGCACCGATACCATTCTGAGAATCGAACCGAGACAGTCGAACCGAACGGTTCGGACGGTTTTCATAAACCGTTCCATCCCTAATACACACACATCAATTTCAAACAGATGGTATCAGTATGGTATCGGCCGATTCTGCACAGCCAAGTATCGGGGCCAAAATTTGGCATCGGCACAACACTAATATTTATATGATGAAAAAGCAAATTCTTTACTTTAGATTAGAATAGGGCAAGTTTAAGAAAAACTGGAAAACTGGGCGCAATTTATATCACCAGAGAGATCTGCTTTTGTTATGTGACAAAATCAGGGTCGAGAACCTCCTTTTGCTTTATATTATAAGCGTTTATTGCTATTGTGGTTACTTTTATTTAGGTAATGTTGCTTTTTTTCTCCTTTTGATTAAAGAAAAAATATATACATGCGTGTGTACAGGAACAGACATAATATATATATATATGTATATATGAAGAACAAGAAAGGAAGAGAATGGGATTTTTTTTTTTTCTTTCTTTTTCTCTTATGAGTTTATCTGAGTTGGGATAAGATTATTAAGATTACCAAGAGTATTGTTGTCATCCAGCTTATGTATGCTCTATAGTGAGCTTAGTTTGGCTAAGTGTGTTGAGGCCACTTGAGGAATGTTACAAACACTTCAAAATGCACTCAAAGAGTTAAAAAAAAAAGCTGAATTTCAACACGATAATAATGTTTGACGGTGAAATCCATTTCCTTTGATGGTTGCGTTGATGTCCATCTGACTATAGATGCTATCAACCCTGGTTTAATCTGCTTTACCTGCACTAGAGGCATTAAAAATAGGTTTAATTCAGATTAATGGGGGGATGGTGACCCCGGGATGATCTAAAAACAAATAATATCAGAATCTAAAGTAGGTCAAATTATAATTCTAACAAAGCATCAACCATTCAGTCTATTTGCTGAGTTTTTTGCTGAGTCTTCTAGAGAGAACTTTCCATCCCTCCAAGCAGCATGTTGTGCGAGACAGAGCTAAACCAGTAGGGACTCACTTGTTAACATAACCAACCACATGTTCACAGCAATCAGAGTCAGGTGGTTGCATTTCACAGCCATATATGAGGAGCTGCACCACACCTGTCTCCTATTAGGATAATGCTGTTTTTTTATGGACATTTTTCTTCCTGCCAAAAACCTAGAGCACATATTTTCAATTTTAGGGCAGGATTTCCTCTACTTGCACTCCAAAGGTGTAATGATCACATTCAAAACCGCTGCTTTGTCTCAAATATATTCTCTTCTCCATCAAATGTTTTATTCTGCTCCCAGTTCTAATGTTTTTCGCACTGATATTTTCTCCTCTCGTTTACTTCCTTCTCCTCGTGCTTCAACCAGTCTTGATT